ATCCCTATATAGGGATGACCGGTTTGCTCACTTGGGAGAGCGTGGTGCTGACAACACCAAGTCAAGGGTTAGGATCCCCTTACCAGTCATCATTTTAAAAAAATAAATTAATTAATTAAATAAATTTTTAAAATAATAAAAGAGAAAGAGAATGTGCTTCTTTACTTATTACTCTTTCCAGGGCACTCAGATTTTGTTCTGTTCTTGAGTTTTGTGCAGTACACCCAAATCCTAAGATGGCTACTGATGCTTGTGGTATAAAGAGAAATGTAGGGAAAACTTGCAAGAGGAGATGCCTTTCTACAGATTTCGAGCTGCTGAACTTGTCCCCCACACCCACCCGCCACAAGTACAGACCAACCTTGGAAGGATATCAGAAAACACTCGCTACAGGTTTAATCTCAACACACAGACTTTGTTTCCTGTTCTCCTAGTCTGTCCTTCAAATGTTAAGAAAAACTCACATCATCATTAGGAAAAACCAGTATTCCAGTAGATCCGTGATCAGTGAAATAAACGAACACATGATCCTTGGGGCCGCTGCCAAGAGAGAGCAGATGAGGATGGGAGTCAGAGGTCAGCAGTTTCCTATTTCTACGTCTACTTTCATTTCTCTGAAAAGTAGCCCTAATTAAAAAATTTAGAAGAAGTTTGAGGATTACGGTTGTTCAACCAGGTTTGAAGAGCAACATAAGAGCCTGGTGTCCATCCTGTTCCCTCTGCTCCCCTGACTGTTATTCTGAACCACAGGCATATCCTGGACCGTTGAAACTGAATCATGGCTGGAAAGGAGGAGGGACCTCTGCTTAGGAGCCCGTCAGACAGACCAGGTGTGAGGCGGATAGTGTAGTTCTTTGGCAATTGGGCTTCATCCCAGGCACGTACGCTCTCCAAATAGATCTCCCCAAATGCCTAAGGGACCAAGACACACGGCCGCACGTGGTGCTGCAGGCTTCCCCTCCAGGCCCGCTGGCCTACACAGTTTGGGATGCCACCTGCCCACCCTGACCAGGGCTTCCACGCAGAGGGCACTGCTTCAGGGTTACAGAGATGAAGTAACTCACTTGGAGCCAATCTGGTTCAGCCAACACAGATGTCTCTCTCTGCTCTAATTCACACCTGCTTCCTTGTGCCCAAGTCTCCCTTCTAGCATAAAAGAAATATGCTACTAAAGTCTCTGACATCACATAAAAATGCTACATAAGAAATTCTAAGCAACAAGACGTCTCTAACTCACGGCCAGTGAGGCAAGTATATTGGGCTTAGTCTTCTCCAATACAAAGGTTAGCTGTGCACTTAGGAATGTGCCTCTTCCCACTGGGCTGACCTGTGATCAGAGCACAGGGTGGGGACAGGCTGAGGCCCTGCAACCCGACCATCCCGCAGGGATTCATGCCTGTTGGTGTGCTCCACTGGTAGTGGAATGCACCAGCGCTACGATCCACAGACAACAAAAACAGCAGGTTTATGTGATAGGGAACATTCTATTAAGAATAATGAGGGACCCTGTGTCATGGGGTTAATTTGGTACAGAAACGGGCTGCCAAGCTCTCCACTCTGGAATTTCTCACAGGTAAACAGGAAAGGAGCAAAGAACAACACCTGTTCCACTTCTCTGCACTGGGGTTCCAGGTCACTGAGAGAAGTGCGGTATCCGTGAACGGGGGCGACACTGAGGGTTGCAATCCGTTGCCGGACACGGAAAAAAAGACAAAAAAAAAAAAAAAGAAACATCGGCACCGGCCCGGCCCCCCTTTTCATCCAGCCTGCTGCCTAAGAGGCTGAATCTCAAGGATACTCAATGTCCTTGAAGAGGATTTTGCAAAATTGATACTTAATCATTAAAAGCAATACAAAAAAAGAAAGGAAATACAAAGGAAAAAAAAAAACAAAACCCTACCACCTAGGTTCCAAACCTTTCCTTACTTAACTATATAGAAAGAAACAATTTCATAAAAATGGGATCATCTATATCACATGTACGATGGATTAAATTTAATTGTATTTGGATTTAAAAGAAAAAATAAATAAAACCAAAAGAATTGCTAAATTTCAGATAAATGTTGATAACAAGGAATATTAGTTCCTAAAAGATCCTTCCAAAATTAAGAAAAAGAGACTAAGAAAACCACAAGACTGAAGTCATTATGGTGTATTTAAAAATGTGTCAATTTATACCATCTCCATCAACTGGGAAGAATATAAAAATTTTTGGAAGTGACATACTATAATAATAATTAACAAAAACTCTCAGCAAAATCCTGAGCGTGCTGAGAAAACTGATTTTCATAAGAAAGCGAAGATAATCTATAATCAGATTAACAGCAATACCCCAAGAAAATCAGTTTATTATCGAGGAAAATCTATTATCAGGCTTAAAGTATGAGAAGACCAGAAACTACCAGAAGACCGCAACTAATTTTGAACATTTTTCCTTTTCTCTGCTTTCTTTCAAAACTCTCGTAATTTATACCTGAAGCACAAATCCTACTACAAACATGTAACAGGGACCAGAAATCAGTCTAGTGATGTTCTGATTCTAGAAACACAAGAAAGAGAAAAATCACCACTCAAATGAAAACAAAGCCTGCTGGTTCCAACCCCATAATCTGCTCACCTCTCCGGTATAGTCCTTCGGGACACCCTTATATACATCTGTGCCATTGGGCCGGTTGATCACAATACCTGGAGTGGGATTGCTGAAAATTAAAGGACAATATTGAAATACAAAATGTGACAAGTCTTTGAAGTCTCTTTCTTCAAAAGTATGCCCCATAATGTGAAAAAATAGTAAACCGCTATGTT